AACAAGTGCCTTACTAGTAGTAACAAGAAGCTAGTAGAAACAAGAAGTTACTAGGAACAAGTGCATCGCTTCTAGTAACAAGTGCCTTACTAGTAGTAACAAGAAGCTAGTAGAAACACGTGCATCACTTCTTTTTTAAAAGATGCGAAGACAAAACACATAAGAGCAAAACACAAAAGTCTGATGAGTCCAAGGGACTTCTAGGAGCAAAGGGCATCGCTACTAGGAGCAAAGGGCATCGCTACTAGGAGCAAAGGGCATCGCTACTAGGAGCAAGGACGCTACTAGTAGCTCCTAACCTTACTGCTAGGAACAAGAAGCTATTAGTAGCTCCACTAGATTGTAATCTAAACATCAGGGACTTCTGCAACATTGGGCACAAATCTGTGGCCTGTCGCATTCCTTGACAAAGAGGTTCGAAGGCGTAATCGATCGCAAAGCAAGGTAAGCTGGCGCAAAGAGATCAAAAACCGTGGAAGAATCTTGTCAAACATGTTGCTAAGCACATACTCTTCGGTGCAAGTTTGTGTGGCTTCAATGTATTCTAGTGTTGTTGTGTTGAGTAAGGCAGGATGGAAAATATATCTCTGCTCTCCTCAGACAGTAGGAAGCTCCGAATCATGCTGGCAAAACCACGACCAGTTTCACTGCAGCCCGTCGAACATCGCACATAAACCTGTCAGCTTCGGATTATACATGTCACTGCACGAAGCTGATGCAGCCAGAGAACCAAAGCCTTTGTTGATATCTTGATTGGTGACACAGGGAATCTGAGAAAGAAAAACAATTTAGGTTGGAGGCTACTAAGTAGGTTGGAGGCCATCGCTATTAGGTTCTAGTGAGCAGTGGATCGGTTTACTGTTGTTCTCTACTAGTAACAAGTGCCACGCTAGTAGTAACAAGTGCCTTACTAGTAGTAACAAAAAGCTATTAATTTAATTTAAGTTTAATTCTAATAGCTTCTTGTTACTACTAGTAAGGCACTTGTTACTAGTAGCGTGGCACTTGTTTCTAATAGCTATTAGGTTATAGTGAGCAGTGGATCGGTTTCCTGTTGTTCTCTACTTGTCTTGTTTCATTTTGTCTGTGTCTTCGGTGACTTATCGCTTGGCCACCGTCTGAAGCTCCGCAACGTTGATGCCTTTGGTAACGACCTTCGTGGTTGAATGCAGAAAAGAAATGTCACCACATATGTCTCTTTTGCCTCACTGAAGGGAGAGGTGTAGATCTGAAGAGCTGTGTCACCGAAGGGATATGTCCTGGCAAGGAAAAATAAGGCTTCCATGGAACAAGAAATACTTTGCAAAGCTCAATGCTGAGACTTGTTCTCCAACAAAAGCTGGGTACTGTGTCTTAAGGTGTGCTGAGTGAAGTGGAACTGATTTGTCACGTCAATGCGAGCCAAGTAAACCGTGCCATCGACATCAGCACCTCGGATCTTACACGAACCAGGAGGTTCTCAATGCCCCTAGTAGCGTCCTTGCTCCTAAAAGCCTTCTTTTGCTGAAAGGAACAAGTTGAGGGCAATTGCCCCGAATAGCAAACTGTGCACCAGGCACAAATGGAATTGGCGTCCTGGAGCCAGATTTGTCGCCTGATATGTCACTTTGTGCCGAAGCACTTGAACATGTACATCCGAGATAATACCTGTAGAAACAATAAGCTACTAGGAACAAGTGCATCGCTTCTAGTAACAAGTGCCTTACTAGTAGTAACAAGAAGCTAGTAGAAACAAGAAGCTAGCTGATGACGAAAAAGAACAAAGAGATGTTCAACGTCTGTCACTGAAAGACGTTGTCACGTCGCTTTGAGATGTCTTTCAGACCCCAACATCTACTGTCCAAGTCCACAAATTGGCCGCTGTTCCGGCCTTGAACAAACCAAACGCAAAAGCGAATGGCATGCAAAATGCCAGAAAGAGAAAGCACGGAGCAAGCAAGAAGCAAATGAACAAAGAAACGTCTCTGTGTTTGTTCAATTCAACCAACTTCGATGTGCAAAACAGCATGGAGCAAAGCAATTGTCTCACGTGTTGTTCTGATCATGGCACTGTGCCCCGTGCAGCTACTGCTGTCGCAATAGTTTGGCGCTGAATGTCTTCTCCAGAGGGGACTCCTGCAAGAGAAAATTCGTAGACCCAAAGGACCTTTGGAATGCGTTCTTTCATCAAAACGGAAGAAAGAAAAGAATGAGAAGTGCAATGATAAGAAAGCTCCTTAGGTCAGCAAAAGGTAAAAGAACAGATTGAAAAAAAGGTAAGAAAAAAAACACGGAAAAATAAACGAAACATAATAAAAAAACAAAAGGTCTCCCAGCTCCCTTCGCTTCTTCTCCTGGATCTCCATTGGTTATTAAGGTGTTGCCTGGCGTCGACTCTCGCCACAACATGCCCATACATGCCCCTGTGCTTGCCCAGAGAGCCAAGCAAGCACGCCGATCTTGGCATGATGTAGAGGTCAAATATAGCATAGTACTTGTAGAACCTAAAGTTGCTGTCACACATTTCACGTCATTTCACACTCCGCAATCACTTGGCTTCCAGTTTGCAACCTTCACTCAGCTTGGAACAGGGATCACATGTGACTTCAAGCCTAGCATGACCGAAGTTCACATGACTCCGTCGCAGCTGAAGATTTGAGTCTGAACTAGTAGGTTGGAGGCCATTGCTTCTAGGATGGAGGCCATCGCTAACGTTTGCCATATGTTAATTTGTTTTTTTAATGCCATGACTCCGTAGCAGTCGCACTCGCACTGAGTCTCTGAGTGTTGCGCTGCTGATTTGTCGCCCGAGCGACTCCCGAAGGTGTCACGACAGTGACTCCAGTGACCTGTGCTTTTGCAGTTTTGGAAAAAGAAGCTACTAGGGGCTCCTGGCATCGCTACTAGGAGCAAGGACGCTACTAGGGGCTCCTGGCCGTACTACTAGGAGCAAGGACGCTACTAGGAGGTCTTTGAAGCTAAATTAAATCAAATTTAGAATTAGGTTAAGTTAGAATGAAATTAAGTTAAATTAGAATTAGCTTAAATTAAAATTGAACTAGAATAAATTGAATTAGAATTGAACTAAATTGAATTAGCATTAAACTCAATTAGAACTAAATTAAAGCTGGATTAAACTAAACTAGAACTAAATCAAATTAGAATTAAATTAGGTTTGAACTAAAATAAACTTGAATTAAATGAAATTAGATTAGAATCAAATTGAACTAGAATTAAAATAAATTGAATTAGAATGAAATTGAATTAAATTAGAACTGGATTAATTTAAACTAGAATTAAACTAAATTAGAACTAAATTAAGTTTGGATTAAATTACACTAAAGTTAAAGCAAATCAGAAATAAAACAAACTAGTATGAAATTAAACTAAAATAGAATTAATTCAAATTAGACTTAAGCTAAATTAGAACTACATTAAATTAGAAGTTTGAAAAGAATTAAAATTGGATAAGAACTAAACTAGATTTGAAATCATTTAAATTCGAAACAGATTAGAAATTTTAATTTGTTTGAATTGACTTACATTAAATTTGAAATAAGCTACATTAAATCAGAATTGAATTCAATTAAAATCAAATTAAAGTAGAACTAAACTAAATTAGAATTGAATCGATTTAAAAATTAGAATCTATTGAACTAGATCTAGGAGCAAGGACGCTACTAGGGGCTCCCGGCATCGCTACTAGGAGCAAGGACACTACAAGCAGTTCCCGGGCAAGCCGGCGGCGTTTCCTATAAAAACAAATTGACCTATAGGAGTGTCCCGGTTCTTTCCACCATGCGTGTCCCTCGTGTCCCTCAGTCAGAACTGCTAGAGCTAACTGGAGCTAGAGCTATTGAAACTAGAGCAAATGATGATGATGAGTGATGAGTGAAGCATAGCTCTAGCTCTAGCTCCACTAAAGCCAACTGGAGCTACTATGATGTGATAGCTTGTCTAGACACGAAGCTAATTAGCTCAAATTTGTCAACCTCTCAAAACATGTGTTGTGAGGTCTCCAGAAAGTAATCGAAATGAGCGCTTTTGAGTAAGCAAAGTAGCTAAAATTTGTCAACCTCTCAAAAAAGCCGGGTGGTCGGGAGACATGACCCAGCTGCAGGGGCGCCAGAGCAGCCGCGAGAGATGACACAGATTGCTCCGCGTACTAAAGTTGTACTACAAAGTCGCCAGTTCTCATCTTCCAGCTCCCCAGATACTCCGCGTACTAAAGTTGCACTACAAAGTCGCCAGTTCTCATCCTCCAGCTCGCAAGATACTCCGCGTACTAAAGTTGTACTACAAAGTCGCCAATTCTCAGCTTCCAGCTCCACAGATTGCTCCGCGTACTAAAGTTGCACTACAAAGTCGCCAGTTCTCATCTTCCAGCTCCCCAGACACTCGCGTACTAAAGTCGTACTACAACGTCGCCAGTTCTCATCTTCCAGCTCCCCAGATACTCCGCGTACTAAAATTGCACTACAAAGTCGCCAGTTCTCAGCTTCCAGCTCCACAGATTGCTCCGCGTACTAAAGTTGCACTAGAAAGTCGCCAGTTCTCATCTTCCAGCTCCCCAGATACTCCGCGTACTAAAGTTGTACTACAAAGTCGCCAGTTCTCAGCTAGTACAAAGTCGCCAGTTCTCATCTTCCAGCTCGCCAGATACTCCGCGTACTAAAGTTGTACTACAAAGTCGCAAGTTCTCGTCTTCCAGCTCGCCAGATACTCCGCGTGCTAAAGTTGCACTAAGTTCTCAGCTTCCAGCTGCACAGATTGCTCCGCATACTAAGTTCTCATCTTCCAGCTCCCCACATGCTGTGCCTGCCACGAAATCTGTGCCTCGAGGTTCAAAAAGCGCTGTGCCTGCCACGAAATCTGCACACAAAGCGCTGTGCCTGCCACGAAATCTGCACATGGAGGTTCACAAAGTCCTGCGCCCCGAAATCTGCACATGGAGGCTCACAAAGTGCTGCGCCTGCCGCGAAA